CCATTGTTCTTAATTTTTATTGTAAGTAAAGAGTTTCATTCATTGAATATTAGTAAGGCATGTTTGTCATAGTTGGCGAGTTCTTTAGCAGTGGACTCTGACAGATTACCACTAGGACTTCTTAACGGAGACCTTCAGAACACCTTCTCTGTTCTTCATGCTCTTCCATCTTTAGAAGTTGCTGGATCAAATCTCTTGCCTCCACTTTAGATTTTCTCAACATCCCTCCTGTTTCACACTAACCCTCTCCATTAAGCCTTACTCCAACCATGGATATTCTCCCTGGTCTTTCTGTTTCCTCCTCCTTTTGCTCTTTTTCATGTCAATCTCTTTGTTTTCCTCTTCACACTTCCCTTGCTTCTTTTTCCCTTCCACATATCCAGTGGTCCTCCATCATCATCATCATCATCATGTACAACTCCATCACTTCTGCCACCAAAGTGTTTCTGCTATTTTCCTGCTTCAACACCTCCTCTTCCTCATCCTATCCATCACACTAAAGTTAGTGTTTCAGCTTGCCTTCCTGTTGCCAACAAAGCATCTCCTCTCTTTGTCGGGGCCTCACGTTGGAGAGGGAGGCTGGCCTCCAAGTTCATTGTGCATTCGTTGGCGTTTGCCTGCCACAACTTAACGACTCAACTCCCTAAACTAGCATATGTGTGTTTGTGTGTATGTGTGAGAAAAATAAGTGAGGCTCTGAAAGAGACGGAGATTCTTTAAAAACAACAACATGTAGAAAATGCTCCTTGTTATCATCAGATCTGCAGAAGCATTAGCTCATACATTGCAGAAATCTAAAAATCTAATGTTTCCAATTTCTGAAGTCTATCTCTTTAAATTCAAAATATTTTTCAAGTAAAAGTGAAAAGTGCAGTAAAACTACTCATTTTTTTTTTCTTCAAAAAGTTACTCAAGTAAATGTAACTTAGACATCACATTACAATAAATAAAAACAAATGTTTTCCATCATCCAAAAAAATACACAATGGTAACATTAAAAAATCACAGATACTATATTAATTTTTAAAAAACACAATAAACTTACCAGTATATCATCTGCATTAAACCCCAACTTACTCGGTTTGTTCTGAAAAAAACTATGTACAAGTTTTTTCCTTTTTGTTGGATTGCTGCTGTGACTCTTACACACACCAGTATCTTAACGCTCATGTTGCATTGCACGACGTGTGAACAATGGACTAAACGGCTGAAAAAAATGTAAACGGAGGGCACAGATACAGGAAGTGTGGGAACCCTGTTAAATCAAAATAGGAGTAAACAGAAACTTAGCCATTTGGAGGTGAAAAAAATAAAACCCAAATAAAATAAACAGTCATTCTTTAAGGTTAATCTTTGCTGTGAGAATGTAGCACACCACAAACTATACATGTCAATCATCTATTTTGTAGTATCAGCTTTTACTGGTACTACAAGTCTTTGTCACATGTCTACCACATCAAAAGGCTAACATTTCTGGCCATTTGTCTTTGCAAAATTTCTATTTTGAAAGAAAACCTCAGATTCTGGATCTGATTTCGGTCTGGATTGTGTCCGAGCCACTCTAAGGCACCACTGTGCTTTGACATGGCCTATTCCACTGCAGCTCAGACGATATCTTAAGGGTCATCATTATCCTTGTGTAATATAAACCTCTACTTGAGACACATGTCTCCTGCAATCTCTTGATGTTTAATCTCCAAACTCTAAACAACCTCTATATCTCTTTCTGAAGAAGAGCATCACCACAGCATGAATACATTTTGCTGTCATCCCAGAGCCATGTCTCCTCTATGACTTGAGGCCTATTTTCATAGGTTTCTCTTTTCTCTTCTGCTGAGGCCACGTTTGTTGTTGTGTTGACCTTTTCCTCCACTTGAATGGAGGTTCTCTGCAGATTCTCCAGACTTCCCCACAGTCGCTTCTCTGATTAATGCTTCTCTGGTTGCTTCTCTGATTAATGCTTTCCTTGTCCACCCTTTCGGTTTAGGTGGATGGTCATGTAGATTGTAGGTTTGTTTTTGTGCTGTACTTTTACCTCTGCCAGATGATTAACTGAACGGTCCTCAGTGCAAACATTAGATTACTGTGTATTTAGAATAAAAGCTGTGCTACTAATGGTTTGGTAGATTGAGTTGTCTGATATTTGGCATACCGTAGTAGCTTGGGGATCTGTCCAGAGAGATCTCCTGGATCAGAAGCCCAGATAAATATTCTCCATTGTGGCCTGATTGAACTGTTGTCACGCTTTCTGTGTTAAGCTAATTGTAAACAAGACTTGTCAGTGCATTAGGGTAGGTAATGACATAAAATATGAGGTGTTCCCTGTGGCAACTTGACATGTAGCCACAGAAGAGAATTACTGCTGGTCACTTGACAGGAGGCGGCTCTCTTAGAGTGCCTCTCTTGTTTTCTAATTGAGGATGCTTTCAATCTGTCACTTCACTGGCTACTGGCCAGCAGAGACATTTCAAGTGGAATGGATCTTACTTAACATTTTTGTTTGCATTTTGAATGCAGTGTTAGACGTAACTGAGGGGGAAAAACAGCTTTAACTGCATAACTACACTGTTTAGCTGAATAATACAAAACACAAAAAACTTAACTCCTCCAGGACATTTCTCATTCTCACGTACCTTAAGAAAGCAGATTAATGAATCTGAATTGATGTAGCTGTTAAAAGTTGAGACAAAAATCCATTCCATAAGCCTCTGTTGTATTTGATGGATTTATTTGAAATGATCAAAGTTGAATTTAGATTGATTTTCCTGTTTCCTCTCACCTTTTCTGTATTTTCAGAAGGTAAAATGAAGTCTGATAGTAAATACATTGAAAATTTTTAAAAATTGAATATTATTTTAGTCATTAATATCATACATAGAACTAAAACATTTTATTTATTTATTGCAGAATCAAAAAATATCAACCAGAAATAATTTGCTCCACTAACGGATAAATAGAAGCCAATCGTTTATCAGAATTACAGTTTTTCTGGTTCATTAAAACAAAGCTGAGATAAAAGTGTGATTATATCACAGCTCTAACCTGATCTGGTCTGTATATAGTTAATGTACATTTGTGCTGTGACTTTTTCAAGCTTCGAAACTAGGTTGAGCCAGTTATTTTCTTCCTCACAACTGACCTAAATACCTAAATTCTTTCAGTGGCAAACTGAGAAAAATATGGCTGCTAAGCAGCTGTCTGAAAACCAACCTTACAGCTTTCTCAAAAAGCCCATCTATTTTTATTTTTATTTGTCTCTTAGCAATTTTTGTCACACAAGTACAGATAATATTTTCTGTGGATGACAAATATGCTTCAGCTAGTCAGTTACATTAAAGTCAAGATATGTTACATCCTGGATTTCTCCTCATAATGAATGAAGAGGAACATCTTCTTGCTGTAGGTTTAAATGTCCCACCATAGCTGCTTTCACAGGATTAGTGCTCTTACATACTTGACCTGTTTTCCTGGCTACACCATTGACCTTTGGGGGATATTTCCATACTGTAAAAACCTAGCTGCCTGCTTAAAGATTGTTTTTAGCACATAAAAGTTGTATACGTTTTTTTTAATATTTTGTAGGCAGAATCAGAGTAAATAATAAAAAAAATCTTTTTTTTTATGTATTAAGGGTAAATATGTATCCAATCTAGCTCTGTGTGAAAACATAATTCCCACTTGAGCCCAATAACTGGTTGGGCTCAAGTTCTTAGCAATAAGAACTGATATTAAGTGTTTGTGATAACTGGTCTTTAACATCACTGGAAAAATTGTGACCCACTCTTCTTTGCAGATTTGTTTTAAATCAGACACATTGTTGGATTTCTGAGCATTACTGACTGTTTAAGATAATTTCAAGGTGTTTCAATTAAATTCAAGGACACACTTTGTATGTCCTTGAAAACTTTTGTTTATTTTAGCAGTTCAATTGTGAACTTGCTGGTGGGCTGGTTTGGATAACTTTTTTTTTTTTTTTTTTCTTTTCACAAATGAAATCATCATTTTAAAAGTGCTTTTTGGCAGTGTTACAGCGCCACCAATTGGCACGGCATACCAACTACAACGTTTTCAGTTGAATCCTGCATTCTGTTGTGTGGAGGAGCATTTTTTCTTAATCGCTTACAGAAATTTACGGTGTTTGTCTACGTGTTGATGGGGCCTAAGCTACAGGAAAGTTTGTAGTTACAATGTGACAAAATGCAGAACATTTTAAGGGGTGCAAATGCTTTTGCGAAAAACATAATATATTTGTCACTATTGTTCTTGTCAGTGTTTTGGTTCAGAGTTGTTCCATACTGTTCCTGTTCCAGAAGGCTCATTTCAATTTCTGCTGATGTGCTTCAGTTTGGAGTTTTTCTCGTTAGTGTATTTCCAAGAGAACATTAGGCAGAACTTTGTATGAAAAAATGCACACTGTACTCCTCAAATCTTCAGTCATCTTGAAACCCGACGTTTTCCACTCATATCTCTAAAACCACAAGCAAACCACTTCAAAATCTACACTGAAGAAAGAAAATAGTTGGTCCAACTTAAATAAATAGCTTCAGTTGGTAACAATTCATTTCAGTTTAGCTATTTATTAGTTTCTTTAAAACTATAAATAAACTATAACTTAAGTTAACTTAAGTTATTAATAACTTAATAACTTAAGTTAACTTAACAACTTAACATTCAATCACTTGGCTTTGTTGAAGTTTGATCAACTAAAACTCTTTTTTTTTAGTGTGTTAGAAAATATTTTTAATAAATTAATAAAATCCTCATACATTTCATTTGGGCTCTTTTTTTGTTTGTTTTTTGTTTGGGTGTGTTTATACTCATCAATATAATATAGATATAGCCTGGTAAACTAAACAAAAAAACAAAACAAAAAAACAACCCAACAACAACATCAAAAAAAAAAAAAAAAAAAAACCGTGTCCTTTTTGTTCTAGACTGCGATGCTCCACTCCTGAGTCTCGACACACCTCTCGCATCAACCTACCTACCTGAATCAAAGTTTGGGACTGTCACGCATGCGCACCTCCTCCTCAACCGTCACGATATAATAAGTGCGCTCTGCACCGTCAAACGTGGTTCAGTCTACAGTATCTGAACCGGACCGAGGGGGAAGAGGAAGACGGAGAGGGAGAGATGGATGACAAAAAGAAAAGGAAGAAGGATGAAAACGCCAAAAGTGATGACAAAGTCACGCTGAAGAAGGAAATCGGACTCCTAAGCGCCTGCGCTATTATCATCGGTGAGTGCGCGCGACAACTTTGAAAGATGAGCTGACAGGTTGTAAAGGGGATTCAGCTCGGAGGGAGAAGTAAACGGAGAAACGTGTTTGAGGAGCTGGCTCACTGTTCTGACACGGCGTCCCGTACACTCAGCTGTCCAAAAGTTACACATAGCGGGATATTCCGGCTCAAATTCATCGCATTTCCTCAAACTTGGACGCAAAACCGAGTCGAAAAAAAAAAAAAAAGAAAAAGTGACTGAAAAGGAAGCTGCAAGAGGCAGGCTCAGTGTGTGTAGTGTTTTTTTCGGCTCGCGTGGAAACTGTTGCATCAGTCGTATCGGTCTGAATATGAGGATGCTTACGTGGCTGGGTAGTGTGGTGAAGTAGGGAGGCCCGGTTCCTTGGGACAGCTGAGCAGTGAGGCGCTGCAGCTGTCTGCTCTGGAATATGCAAATCAGCCACTCTAAAAAACGATTTAAAATGTACAGTAAGCGGCCCACGGAACACAGTCCTGCTTTGAAACACACAGAATATTCTGCTGTTTAATGTCCCAATCTTCACGGAGCTGTTGGTTATAAGTCTGGGGTTATAGGGAGGACACATGCCTTAATGATATTACATAAATAGTAGTATCATTTTTTGCCTTTCTTAGAACATTTTTCAGTTCTAAATGCTATCACTTTGTTTCATTTGGGACAGATATGCTCCAACTGGCTGACCAGATAGTAAAACATTAGATTTTTAAAAAATAATTTTCTAATACATACAGCAAAACAAATAAGTACTGCTGTTTTTAGTGTATAAATCCATCAACTAACCATATACTTTAATGCAGTGGTGTCCAAACCAATTTTGTGCTGCCCACAACTCCAATTCCAGAAAATACAAATCTGCTAGCCTGCTGCGCAGGTAGAGATGATGCAGATGAAAAAATATAAAACATTTTTAGTCAGGGCAAAAGTATTACAAAAACATTAAAATTTTGCAACAGAAAATCCTGGCTACAGTACAACGTGACAACCACATCCATCAGCAGGCTTTGATTCTTTTAATGAATTCTTTACAACTTGGCTACATACTTTTCAATAAAAGTGACCTAAGTCTTGTTTTTATTGCCCAGAACTGAAAAAAAAAAATATTTTGAGTTGAGAAATTTAAAAATTCACAAAGTGGATCCCTCTCTTGGGCTGCACAGTGGCGCAGTTGGTAGAGCTGTTGCTGTGCAGCAAGAAGGTTCTGG